AATCGAAGATTTAAACACGATGCTTCAGAATCCAATAAATGGATGAAACGTGGACATCTCGTACCGTACGTTCTTATTTTGATAATTATATGATTGGTTGGTCATTGGAAGCATCAAAGCTAGAAAGGCATCACTTAGCTGCATTTTCTTCTGACGGTTGGTTGGGGCATGAGCACTAACTCTTGTCCTAGCCTTTTATGACTTATGCGTATAGCGCCATTACTCGCTTTCGGAAAAGAGAAGAGGGAAAGGAAAAGGAAAGGACAAAGGGAAAAGGATTATGTGAAATCTATGAACATAAACTATATTTTTGATTTGAAATATAAAATATAGAAATGCAGAACGCGGTGGTCGCTACCCGAGTCTTGTCACTATTATCAAGTCATAAAAAGTAACAAGGACTAAAATGTGATCCTTTGATTACTGGAAAATCCTGATGCTTGGGACTAGCAATCATCCTCAATTTGTAAAAACTGGTGATCTCAAACTAGGCAAAACCAGCGCCGGCCGCGCCCTAACGCAGGTCAAGAAAGGAATGGGTATAAATGTGTTGACGTGACACTCGCTTTGATGGAAGCCGAAAAATCCTCTGCACTTCCACGAGGAATCACTGGGATGTTGGGTAAGAGGGTTGGGTTTTCGCGTACAAGATTTAAAACGTTTATTAACAAACTTTTAACCCACCAATTCCTTTGCAGTTTAATTGTACCCGTCCAATTTTGGTAGCAAGCCCGAAAACTTAGTGTTGTCAAAATCGAACGGTTTTATTTTGAAATTCAATTTATGATTTGGTTGACTTCGGACCACTGCGAGGCATCGCCATGACTTAGACGTTACTAATAATAAATCTTTTATTAAAAGTTATAATCACAAGCAGTAAAAACACACTATTTTCCAATTCCGTTCAATCTTGGCACGTTGCCAAAATTAAACCCCGTGCCAAAAGCGAACGGTTTTGCGATTTTGTTGCTAAAATCGAACCGTGCCTAAATCAAACGACTCCTGTACAAATCTTACCATTAAATAAATGGTAAGCTCTCACCAGATTCTGCAGTTGTTTGTGACCATTCAACACTGTTGACCATCATAATCACAAGTGTTAATAAGTAGGAACGAACTCACCAAATGAATCCATGAACAATGTCAACAGAATGAAATTTCATGTCGCTACTGGTACTTTCATGGTCCAACTTTCTTGCTTGAATCAGGATGATATCCACTTGGTACTATTCAACATGTTGCCTCTCCTTGAATACATCCTGATTCCTAGTGATTCCTTTTCTTCAGGGAGAATTTCCTGTAGTCTCCGTGACGACGTCGCAAACGGAATAACGGAATGAAAAAACTTCATGGCACGGGTTTTGTTGAGAGTCACGGAAAGACAGGCCAAAACTTGAATAACTTTAGAAATCACTATCAGATTGTTTTTTTATACTGTTTTAAAAATATGCCGAAATCGTTTCCGTTGTGATCAGCGTAATTACTAGCTCATTTATTACTTTTAAAGTTACTTGTACAGAGAAAATCGTAAAAATATATTCACTCTACCGATTACATACGGTTAATTGCTTCAATTAATCTTAATCAGTTAGAAATGTAGATGTAAAAACCGCAATAGAATAATTCTCATGAGTGCCTGATCATTGGAAAATGACAAGAAATCTAATGATAGGTAGTTTCGTCTCGTTATAGTGAGAGGACCTGTTATCTCATTGTCACATGACGGCCGTGATATTTACCAGCTCTGTTCATAATATTCAACTAGATCTCATCCCTAGCCAAGTCATCAATGACCGAAAATAAAAGAAAATAAAACACACAAGCAATAATATTTCGTTCAACGACCAGAAGTGGGCACCTATATAGAGATCTTTAACTGTATTTGGAATATATAGATTTCAATATCATGATTCTAGAACAAGAGAAATCTAAAAGGTCCTTTAAAATAATTAGATTTCAAATCATGGATTTGGGTAAAAAATTATAAAATTATGCAATAATAAATCCCTGAGGAAAACATAGAAAATAGAATAAAATTATAAATTTCTACTTTGGATTTTTTTTTTAGGATTCCAAACATTGACAAGATTTCAATCAATGGCCAAAAATGTTCAGAAATAGACAAAAATATTAGATTCTATAGTTGAAGATGCTAATTTCAAATAACAGACTGTAGTGGTAATTTTTATACGATAGATGGAGTAGATGAAAGCATAGAGTTGATAGTTCCGTTAGAGTACGGCAGTGTGAAGATTGCATATAGATATTAGAATAGCGAGCTAGGACAACTTTTAAGGAAGGTACAAATCGGTTTTTTCATCTCTCTTTACCAAACTCCCCCTTTGCAGAGGGATGGTGAGGGGTGTTCCCCCCCGCCACCACTGGCAAATTAGAAAATTAGATTCTAGATTCTTCTAAACTTGGAAAATTTTCGAGAGCTTATGTTATGCTATGTTAACTACGGAGTTATAACACGTTACAAAGGTGTTATAATAATTATTGACAAAAAAACGTCATGAAGATAGCCTTGTAACAAGTTAACACTCCATAATGCAAACATTGCATTAGAATTGTTTTGAGAATTTTCGACTTATTATAAATTTACATAATTCTGAGAATAAGAATTTCCAGACCAAGTTTTAAAAAATATGATGTTCAGACTGGCCATTCTCCAAGTTCGTTGATACTATATATTATGCTTCATTGTAAAACAAATCAATAAAAACGTCACTTCAAATCAAAATGGAGTCGGAGACAAAGTTGAAGGAAAATAGAAGGACTTTCCAGAAAATAAACGAGGTTCAATAATCCACTATTTTGGTCGAAATAAATGATTTATTCTTGAATACCAAGTTGTTATTCTATTAAATATTTTGTGAATGAGTTTTTTTTTAACTTATTAAAAAAAAAATTTGTGAAATGTTAGATCACTTTGAATTGGACAAAATTCTGTGCTTTATTTAAATCAATTTATGTCCAGAAAATTACTGAAAAATCAGTCTAATCAAAGTTTTAAAAATCGAATCCGCTCAAATATGATTGATTACTCATTCAGAAGAAATATGAATTATTGCTCAAAATGAACAATTATGCAAAGTCTCCTAATCGATTCATCACTTGGCGAAGAAATGCCCGAAAGATATTCTTTTGAAGATTCCATAGGGTGCGGCACTACTTCATCATACTTCACTGCTCTTCAGCACACCCCTTTAGGAAATTCGTCATTTCCATGTAGAATTTTGTTTACATCAATCTTACCGTACCGTGGTAGAGGTAACAATAGCTGCAATTTCCAAACTTACGACAGGATGCCTTCCTTCAGATAACAACTTGAGTGCGGTAAAAATCGATAGAACTGTTTCAAACACATCGTCGGTACATGATCGAGTCGGCGATCACCTCTTTTTGCCAGTGGTGGCGCATCCCTCTCCAACGGGGGAGTTTGGTAAAGAGAGATGATCAAACCGATTTGTACCTTCGTAAAAAGTTGTCCTTGCTCACTTTCTACTCCCTATATCCAATTTGCACACTGCCGTACTCTAACGGAACTATCAACTCTATACTTTCATCTCCTCATCTATCATATATAAATTACCATTCTAGTCTGTTATTTGAAATTAGCATCTTCAACTATGTAAATTTAAGTTTAAAAAATCGAATCCGCTCAAATATGATTGATTACTCATTCAGAAGAATTATGAATGATAGCTCAAAAAGAATAAATTTTCAAAGTCTCCTAAACATAGGCAATGGTGTCTGATCGATTCATCACTTGGCGAAGAAATGCCCGAAAGATATTCTTTTTTTCTGCTCTTCGGAAATTCGGCATTCCCGTGTAGAATTTAGTTTACATCAATCTTAATTATACCCCTGTTTTAGTTTATCCCTGCAGAACAGGGGTATGATTCACGTAGGGGGGTTCAATACACTTCGCTAAACACTTATATTGGGATGGTAGATCGTCCTTATAAACATACAATGAAATCTCAATTTTGGCAATACGACACTAATATTTCTAATCTTAAATTGCACAGCGTTGCCTAATCAAACTAATTGGTTTTTTTTTTGCCAGCATTTGGAATGTCAAAGGAAGGACTTCAAGGAAACTTACTTTAATGTTTGCATATATTGAATCCTATGAAACACAAAATTGATAACTAACTGTATTAAATTAGTTAGAAAGAGGCCTGTTTCCTTCATTGAAGCTATACCATTAGTCGATATCAACGCATATGATATTAACTCACTATAATTTGTTGCTATCGACTTCTGTGGATGAAGAAATAAAATATAAAAACATTTGTTTTTTAATCTGTAATTCATAAGAAAAACATGCTACTCGTGTATTGTTAAAATAAGAACCATTCCAGGTGTTGTGATACGGCAACAAATTCTATTGCTTCTCGTTATAGTGAAGCAATTTACCTTTTGAAACCTAGTCAACGTATTTAATTTTTGAAGAGTATTTAACTTTTAAATTTTATTGTCTCACTCTCATTCATATAAAGTTGACAATGCTCCACTGTCATAAAAAAAGTAATGTATAATAATAATAAGTGTAATATAAAACTATTAATGCATAAAAAACTGTCGTCTTCACATATTCATAGGAACATACTTATTAATAAACACTTTACCGTAGTGTTAGTATTATCTGATCATACTGTGGTGGGCTTAATAGCATACCTTAATCTAACATTTGTGAACGGACGTTTTCGTCAATCTTGAAAATTGCAAAAGCTTTGATAACCAAAACCTCCCCTATTAACGAAAGCATACTAACCCGCCTAACTTATCGTTATGATGATTTCTTGTTTATGTTTGCACATCATTTCAAAGGTTTCAAACATCTCACAAACCCTCAGTGACTTCTGTTTCCATATCTCAAAGATATTTCACACACACATATCCACCACCTGCCAACTTCATTAGAAGCCATCTCCTGGTTCTCACTTCAATTAATCTACATTTTAAAGTCCAACCATTATTTAAACGAGCAGGAAACCATTGAAAACGAATTCCACACGGCAATTGCCGCCGAGAAGTCTGCTACTGCAGCAACAGCAAAAGCCACCCGTCCAGGTGCAACTTCTACTGCCATGGCTGCTTCTACCACTACTCCACCTTCTGCTGTTGCTGCTGCTACTGCTACTTCTTCTGCTACCACTGCCGCTGCCACTTCAACTGCTGCTCTTACCCGAGAGAGAGTGAAGACTTCGACTTCCGCTTCAACCACAAGCCCATCCTCGTCGAGACCAACCAGTGTCCTAATGGAGGAAGGTCTTGGCGATGGCACTGTCGGTGCCGTTAGATCCCGCATCCAGCGCCAACCGACCGTAGAAACCAAGATCAATGATATTGGTGTGATGGAAACGAGCTTCGTAAGTTAGCTTATGGCGTGTGAATTCTACCCACCGTACTAACTACTGTACTTTAAACTAACGTTATATTCCCGTGTACAGCTATTTTAATTGTATATAATTAAGTTTTCACAACCTGTGTCGCTGTCGCTATGACTATCCACGTACCGAAATAGTATACCATTAACCCCGAAAACATAACCCAATAACTTACAATTTCTTGCTACATCCATTTTATGTCACATTTTCATAATCGATTATAGGAACTCTTTTCCTACCATCCTTATGATTTGTAGTGTAAAGCAAGCTGAACAATGCATTAGGTCCTAAGTAACATTGATCGATTCTCTTCATCGACTTTCTCTTTCGACAATGACTTGGGTATCGATCTGTGTGCTAAAGTTAGCTGGTAATGTCTTAACATGGCCGTGAGAATGCAAAGAGAAAGTCAACGAAGAGAATCTGTCGACGTTACTTAGGACCTTATGCATTGTTCAGCTTGAAATATTCATAAATTCACCTGCCCGTTGATGCCTCTTGTACTTTCGTTACATTGTAAAATGAATCGTTTGACGTACAGGCAAAGACGAACTCCGTGCTGAACTAATGAATGATTTCCACCCGGGTTATGCCCATGGCATTTTAATTAAACAGCAACCGAAGTAGGAGAAGTGCCTTCCCATCGACAAAGGTGATAATTTATGCTTTTTGCACCACCTTCTACCACCTATCGTCATGCAAATGCCTCCTAAAGCTAGTGAATGTTTGACACGTGGTGGCAGTAGCAAAATTAATCAATCTACAAGTTAGACTTTGAGGGGGATGGGGAAAACCTGGCTTGCTTATTTTGGAACTGCAGACTGGAGATAACAACAAGTCACGCTACATGCGATGAGATGATGATAAAAAATGGTTTATGCAAAGTTTAAGGATGGAAGGTACATCACAGTTGATTGGGATACGTCAAAGTCGGTTGAAATAAATTCATCAGTCTAAATAATCACATTATTATACAATGTTCGTTAACACAGTAATCTGACTCGACATTATGTAAAATTTTGACGTAACATTGGTGCAATGCATTGGACAGTGGGGATTTTAGGAATAATGAAGGTTAAATTTGGTTTCGGCAGAAATAACAAATACGTCATAGGGGAATTTACGTATTCTCGGCAACCTAAGCAGCGATCATCTTTCTATAGTCTTTTTCTCTAAGGAACGCACACATATGCAGTATTGGTTTGTTAACAATCTTTTGCTGCCAGCTGCTCTAACAATTTCAGTCGAAACTGTTTTGAATCTCTTTTACAAAGCTCCAATCTTCTCTAGTGAGAGCGACTATTGTGGGCAACATCTTTGTATTCGGCGTGCTTTCTATTTGAGCTGCGTGTTAAACGGCTGTGCTTTCATCGGGAACTCGAAATCAGCAGCATTTTGAAGTGCGTGTGTTTCATTTCAAGAAAACCCTGCTAGATTACTTTTTCTCAGTGAAAAAAATGTAATCAAATTGAAGTTGAAAGCCTTAAGAAACGATTGAATACATTCAGAGAAGTGTTTTCGTAAGAAAATCCAGCGAAATTAGCGTTTTAATTTGGGTTGCCGAAAATAGTCTGTCATGCCGAAGCCGTCATTTCCCCTATATGATGTTTTCCTACTGCAAAAAAACCCCAAGAAATCGATTCCACTTGCGCACGTTACTGCAAGTACGTGTTTTTACGCTCATTTCGCCCAACGCTACCCGTATAATAGTTATTGTAATTTAAACGTGTTAAACAATCTATTTGTTCAGTAAGTTTTAGTAGAAGTTACCAATTATGTTTTTACAGTCAATTGGAAAACTACAATTTACAGAAGAATGTGGGCCCCATATGACAAATATGTGTGAAAGTGGGGTTTTAAATACAATGTTAACGATGTAAAAAATATTCAGAAAGTTTTTCACACTTTAACATTACCGAAAATAAACCAGGCGCAAGTTTTGAGCTCATTTTACACTGGCATCCCGTGTCTAAAAAAAAACTGCCTAATTCAAGAAATTTAAGAACTTTCATTGAATTTTGGGGTAATATTTGCTCAAAACAAGTACCTTATAAGAGGTATCTTTGATAATGCGGGTAAGTTTGATAGTAGAATATAATGATTAAATTTACTCTCTGCGCTTTTTCCGAATTGGAAACATTGGTTCCATATTATAGCTTAGAGTATTTCCGTTGATATCGTGTAAAGTTTTTATATAGTATGTTTTACATATTTTACAAACATATTAAAAAACTATTTTCTTGTTTTTCGTTCACTCAAACCATCACTTATGAAATGTATATCCCATGTAGCCATCACAAATTTAATGTTGTATTATTATTGCTTGTAATGTTTACTGATTATAGACTCATTCAAAGTTTCATATTTCTTGAACTAAATTATTCGAGTTTCACGCATTTTTTTCTACATTCAATGAGCATTATCAAAGTAATCCCAATTCAAAATACTGATGTTCAGTCACAAAACTAAAAAAATAATGCAAATGCTTTAATTCCCGTTAAACATATTACTAACGAATGACTCTACGATCCTCAGTACTTGTTTAAAAAAACTGGAAAAACATTCCTTGCTGTAAAAGATATTTGGAATGTACTTTAAAAAACTATCAATGTTATCCCGTTTTACGGTACTACCATAGCATGCGCCAAATGAAACTGTGCGAAAAAGATCCATTTGAATATTAAATTACACTAATTAAAAAAAAATCATGTTAGGATTTCAATGGCATACAATTTTAGATTTGTCCTGAAATCCCCACGGTGCATTGTATTGAAGTAGCTTATACTCATTCATCACAGATCTGAATGTTAAAACAAAGTCTAAAGGATTTTGTTGATTACAATATAATTAAAATCAGTATATCAATTATTCAATCAAAAACTCCATATTGGCATCTATGTTCGGTTTCCTGAATTCGAGTAAAAGATCTACCACCGAACCCTACACACTGCGAAAATTTCATGTAAATTTCGGTTCCCTGAGACCGACACATGTAAGCGGCCTTTTTGACATAAGAATCAGTTGAAAGAAACGAGAAAATCAATTCAATCAAACGTTCTCTTCGTCGACTTCCGTATGTTTCGGTTTGATAACACTTAATTTTACAAGAAATGACGGTTTACGTTCCATGATTTACGTTCAATATGGATTACGTCTCGTGTAAAAGTAGCTATTTCTAAGTGTGTAGTCCTTGTTACGTTTTATGTATTATTAATAGTGACAAAACTTGGATAATCTATCGAGGATAATCTTGAAACAAGGAAAAAATTAGTTAGTTAGTCTTCGTCTATGTATGTACATACTTTAAAAAATCATGTAAATTTAGGTGCTCTGAGACTGACATATACGAGCGTCAAACGTACTTTTCGTCGAGTACCGAACTTTTCAGTCTCGGAGCACTTAATTTTACATGACATATTTGTTTGCGTCTCATCCTGTATGTCAAAGATGGATTCCGTCACGTGTAAAATTAGGTATTTCTAAGTATGTATGTGATTCCTTATCTTCTATTACTTAGTTGTTCTCAAGTTTGTAGTGATTTTGACTAGGGTTCTGATGCAAGGTCAATGTAGGTGACATTGCTTGATTTTTTTTTTGATTAACAACCCTGCTGATCTTAGAAGATGGGTCAGAATTGTATGATCAATTGGATTCATATTGTATCCATTGTACAACTTTTCCACCAAAATAGTACAAAGCATTAGCGCAACTCTCGTAAGCGAGAGACCACCAGTCTTGTTAAACGTTGCCAGACTATGTTTTTGAGACAACTCAGCAGGACTTCTTGAACAGTTTCTGGCTAAAACGTGAATTTACTTCAAGAACGTACTAGGTAATCTCTGAATTTTCAAATCAAAACGGGAACTTAAGCGGTAAAAACACTGGAAGCAACATATTTCCGTAAAATTTTTTGCAGGGGCCAAAAATATTCTCTTGTCAACGGGTGAGATGGATCCCATATAAGGCTGTCCACGAGACAGTTGCGATCAGCTGATGTTTTTGTTTACCAAGAGCTTTTAACAGAACGCAGTAGAACTGGCAGTTTATTCTCATATAAATTTCTGCTTTGTGTATGTTTACATTCAGCACCATTAACACCAGATCACTCACAAACTCTAGATTTCTAGCTGTCAATTCCACTGAGAAACGTCTCATGGATCATCTTATTCTATATTTGCTATAAAAACTTGTTTTTCGTTTGCCGTGCTTGCCGCTTTAAGCTCGTTCAACCCGCTAAACACGGTCAAGTTGCCGAAAGTCTGAAAATCTTTCAAAGCTGAAAACGAAACGGAGACGAAAACGTAATGGGAGTAGATTTGCCCAGTAACTGCAAAAAACGGAACTTAAATCAAATTGTAATTGACTTTCAAAAACATTACTAAAAACCTATACTGCTTGTATTTGCATAGGGTAGAGCACTACTTCGTCGTAATCGCCCATTTCCGTTCTATCGATCAGAAAAGATCAATAATATCAATGATTTCACCATGCACAAATCAATAATAGGTTTGTTCTTATGCGTAAGCTCATTAGCTACAACATAAAACCAGTTAGAGCGCATTATATGAATATTTGCGCTCATTGTTCTCAAAACAAAAGAAGCACTCCTAGCGAATCCTCTTTTTCTACGTTTATCCGTAGGACGAAGAAAATCTAACGGCGTTTCAATGCGTTAGGACGCAATTGAAAATCGTAGAACGAATTTAGAATCAAAAAGCAGTGTTAGATTTTAAACAATATCTCAACAATTTGTGACTCTTTATCAAATCCAACGGTACGTATGGAAAGGTGAATGAATTGAGAAGTCATCTTTGACAGAAATATTCCATTTTTTGTTTAAACTCGTTCAGAAGAGAGAGGAAAAGCGAGTTGTGCTTAGTAGGACGGAAATTAGATCAAAAACCCTATTAGTACCATTTGGAAAATAGTCATATTGAGAAAATGGAAATTAAAGATATTTGTATAATTTGATGATTTTAGTA